TGGCAACTGTTTTCGAAAAAAATGAAAAATCAGGCACTTGCGAAATTTGACCCCTCATCACCAGTCCCAATCGTTTTTGTTTTTTACAAAAAAGACGTCATTTCAATCATACAAAAGAGTGTATATTTTAGTTTTCTGTTTCAAAGTAAGTAAAACCATCGAGAAATAGGTTTTTACAAAGTGCCTGAAATTTCACAAGTGCCTGGTTTTAGTATTTTGTGCTTGAGGTTGCCAAATTTTATCATTCATATTCAATTTCAAATAAATCCAAAAAGTACGATTGTTAGCCATATGTTGTCAAATGGTATTGCTCATTGCATTATTAAAAACGCTCAAATTGTTGTGAAACAATGAATTTGCGTTAGAAAGCAAAGAATAGTAAGTTCTGACGCAAATAATTTAGGAAAATAATTGCGAAAAAATATGGCAATTGTCAATGAGAAAAATGAAAAATCAGGCACTTGCGAAATATGACACGTCTCCATCAGTCACAAACGGTATTGTATTTTACCAAAATGTTGTAAATTCAATCATACAAAGTGTGTTGATTTAATTTTTTGCTTTAAAGTAATCAGATACATTGTAAAATAAGTTTCCACCAAGTGCCTGAAATTTCTCAAGTGCCTGATTTCTATATTTTGTAATCAATGTTGCCACATTTCACTATTGAAAAATTAATTATACCCTAATAAATTGGAAATAATATTGTTTTATTGCAATATATGGATGCTAAAATTTATTTAAAGTCTAATTATTTTGTTAAATAAATAAAAAATCTCAATGACGTACAGAAAAAATAAAAAATATCCAAGTGCCTGAAATAGTGCCTGAAAAAGTGCCTGAATTCGCAAGTGCCTGGTTTTAGGGAGACCCGATATTTTATGAGCATTAGATTGCCTTTGTGATTGTTTTCACAGTTATAGTTTATTTAATTGATTTGTTCGGATTTCATTGACGAATGATTTCATGTTAAACTTATGATAATTTAAGCCTGGAATAGCAGACAAATTTGGTATGTTATACTTTGCAACTCTTTCTGATGTGAAGGCTGCAAGTTATTTAATAGTAATTTGGTTCGACTTGTTAATTAACTATGTTTGATAATTGTGTTCATAAATTTGAGTAGGCTTTCTAAAGGCCGAATTGTGTATGATTATTTATTTATTGCAAGTATTTTGTATTGATTTGTTTTTACGTTTGTATTAAGATAACCGTGTCAACTGTATACTTCGAGTTGTGTGATTTTCTGGATTGAGGGTACAAACTTGGGGCTTGAAAGACCGCGTTATTGAACTGTTAATAAATATCTAGTGTGCAGTCGGTGTCGTCCAGGTCAGTGGTTCCCAAATTTTTTTGACCATCGCCCCCCCTAAAGTAGTTTATACAACTTCATCGCCCCCCGGCAATACAAAAAAAATGTAAAGTCAGAAACGAATATATTACACACCAAATAAGAAGACAAATCATAGTTTACAGTGTATAGTGAGCTTGGTGTTCTTCAGCGAATTTTTTCATTATATTTTAAATTACCCCGTTTACTGGTGAAAAGGCGATTCCGTTGTTTTGATAGCAATAGTAACACGGCTGAAAACCCCTTTTTCACCATATAATAGGTCGGAAATGAAAGAATCCAGGGTTCTACCACCTCAAAAACCGCCGTGTACTCTTGCCTTATAGCATTTCACTTCCTAAATTCACCCCATTTCACATTAAAATAATGAAAACAAAGTTAATTTTCCCAAACATATAATAATGATTTTCGTACATCTCATTCATTCGAACAGCCTGATGACCTGCACCAAAATACTTCGGTAAAATTCATCCCCGATTCCTCATTCTACTACGGCCTCCAGTCTGATCCCCAGTCCATAATTAACCAGCCCTTTGTTTTTGGATTCATGGACTCGGATGTGGAATAAGCCGTGACCGACTATCGGCTACGGCCCAGGGGTCGGCAAATTTTATGTCGCTCGCGGGACAAAATTCAGGCTTGCTAGTCTTTTGCGGGTCGCATATATTTTTCAAAATTTAAAAACGGAACAGCGCGCGAAAACTTCGACAATTCGTGAACTCAACTCAGTCATCTTATTAAAAAACTATTACAATGACATTTAATGTGACACTGACTTGTTGCTGCATCACGCTGGATAGCTTTACGGCGCCAAGATTGACCCATTTTCTAAATGGGCATCACTAATCCCATTTTTATGCTTGTTCTTTGTAATGTTCATTTTCGAAAATAATGGTTCGCACAAATATGTGCTTCCAAACATCGAAGTGATTATTTTTGCATGATTTGTGAAATTTTGATAAAGATTTTCTTTAAGAAGAGACAGTCTTACAAAAATTAAGCAGTGGTGATGAATCTCTCGGTGACCGTACATTTGAACCCATGTCTATATCCGTGGGTTCAATCAATATGCGGGTGCTGAAACCCATGGGTTAGGGTTAGTATGGGTTCAACTATCCGTACAACAACAAAATTTCCATATGTGCAATAGTATGCAGGTGGAATTGTCATGGGTTCAAATGTACGTGGGTTCAAATGTAATGGAACCGAATCTCTCGAATAGAATACTAATTTTATTTCCTTATTGGTTTGCAATATATTTGAATATTGACTATCGCTATTGAACCCCTGCCCTCAGCATCAACTTTTCTTCGTTTTTCCATTTGTCTAATTATAATTAAATTGTAGGCTCGTTAAACGAGTAGCTAGCTGTTCAATAGAATTTTTAGGATATAATAAAATTTAATCCAAACGTGTCTCACGATAAATTCTGTTACGTAAAAAAATGTAATTTACTCCTCGCGCGTAGATTATAAATAAAAAAAATTTTCATCGTCGAAACCGCCGTTTGGATGTTTCCCCGGGCATAGACTTCCTTGTTTACTTCGTGACATTGGCCAATCAGCAAGATGCAAAAAAACTTGACAATGCCCCCTTTTGCTCAGCTCAGGCGCTCAGACACGCTCACTCAGACAGATTTTCAGGCGTGGTCGTAAACATTACCTCATTTTCAGGTTTTTGAATCATATTCGTTAGTTTTTAGTTGTTTTTCGGTAATTTGAATCAAATAAATCAATGATTACTTTGTTTTCCTATGAGTTTCAGTTTAAATACAGCAATCAAAAATTTGTGTAGAAATAGACTAGGCTAAAATTCTTTATCGGTACTTTTAAAAAACAGATTGTTGAATTGTGTGTATTAGAATCATAGTTTGAAACAAATACCCCATTTTACAGGCAACAACTCGCGAAACCACTCTTAAAATAAGCACCGAAAATTTTAAAATGGTAAAGTATGGGAAGAATTTTCCGCGGTCAAAGGTCGGGGAAAGGTCCATTCAGTGCCAGATTATTATATTATTATTTTATCGTCCCGGGCCAGATTATTTTACTCCGGCCGTATTTTGCCGACCACTGGGATACGCAAACTACCGTACCTCACTGCGAAGACGAGTCCAGAAATCCTTTCGCGTGTGATAATCGCCCACATGATTCGAGCCTGCGAATGCACACAGAATACAGAATTAAGTGCGCCGAACATAAAACAGCTTTCGCGAAATCGCCCCCCTATCGCCCCCTTAGACTTTATCGCTCCCCTCTGTATCGTTTTCGCCCACTGGGGGCGATATCGCCCACTTTGGGAATCACTGGTCCAGGTCACAAAGAACGCCTGTTCCAATTGGTTACTCAAAATATGTAAATGGTGAATGACTCAAAGTGACGTCTATATAGGGGCATTGAAACGTCACTGTAATAGTCAAGTTGTTCGAGTGTTAAAGTTCGGAGCAACAAAGTAGGTATAAAAAAGCGATCATATCAAAATTGAGCTTAAATATTTCGTATGAATAAGGTCTACAAGCATCATGTAAAATATCAGGAACAATACCCATGTTAGAATGTAATTTACACTGTTTTTTCATTCTTTTAGTTAGGAACCGAATTCTATGAGAATGTCTTTAACTACGTGAACTTGATGTCGGACTCGAATCGAAGCTCAGATGATCTCGACTTGATTCGTGGTTTGATAATTACCAAACAGTGAACTGCGCGGTATGGGTGCGATATCATACTGATTTTACCACTGAGATACTTGGTGAAACGCATGTCTGTGACGTATGTGCATAGTGACACAAGGGGTAAAGACTGCTAGAGAAATTCCAAAGGGATGTTATTTTTCGCGTCCGAAAAGAATAATTTAAATGAAAAGTGACTAAGGATCAACAAGATATTAAATGATGTTGGGTGAAAGGACATATAGGGTGTCCATAAAATCTTGAAGTTTTTTAAAATTGCAGAGGGAATTTATCAATGCCATTTATAGATTTTGCCCTCACAGATGTATAAAATACTTGAACAATTACTGATTAACAAACAACAAACCTGGTTAAGATATATTAAGAACTGACTTTATAACAAAATTGAAATTGTAATGGACATCCTGTATTGTTTAAACAGTTATGGGAAAAGCAAAAAATATTGTTGCGTTAAAATGTCAGGTTTGTATTATGTGTACCTAATCAATTACAAACATGAAGTGAAGTTCTGTAGAGTGTAGACCATATCAACAGACGTCGCATAAGATCAATTCCGATTATAAAAACCCAAAGGAATGGAACCCCGTAAAAGTCACTAATGCCCTATTATGACTCCTAGAACATGTTTAGTCGAGACTGGGCTTATAACGAAACACAAATAGACTAACAACAAATAAATAGTTGTCTTGATAAAGTTTCCATGGAATGTGGATTAATCAGACAATCTTCTCAGTCACATTCCAAATAAATCTACGTTCTTTATTTTCACTAGTAAACAACAATCATTGGTCACTGATTAGAGCGAGATAGAGATTACAGAATCTTTGTTTCTTTATTAAAAATAACAACTCCCTCCCCTTATGTTTCTCTTTGATAATGCTCTTTTTTTTCTCTTCCGACCCTGAAAAAATATTTGGCGCGCGTGCCACATTTCGGTTCAGGACGTGGTAGTGTGAGGTCGTTCCTGCGCTGGTCTGAGCCAGGTATATTTGCTGTTTTAAGGCAGGGAAGATCTAGATATAATTAAGTTAGCTGATTATTCCCATTCTTCATGCATATATAAGCTAGAACTTGAATTGTATAAATAATAATCTATTTCGATACAATTGGGTAGCGCATTTTTTCAGTCATATTCAGAATTTTGAGTTTTTTATGATGAATATAGATATCAGCATTTAGTTCTTGTTTCTTTTCTTATATACTATTCATGTGTATTTATTTACGTGTTTTGCAACGTTTTTCTTTATGTATCAAGTCTTGCTGTTTATAATTTTTCTATTTTGAACAAGAACTTTGTATCATGGCTAAAAAGTAAGCCATAATTATTATTTACAAATTACAGGCTCAAAAGTGAAGAAAAATCTACCGATATATGATGTTGGCATGATTGATGGTGGAGTGACGACTGATTGATGTAGGTAGAAAAGTAACTGATCTAAAGTAGTTTATCAGTTTTATCACAACTCGATTATAAAGTAAGGGCCTTATAATTTTTAATCTAATTACAAGGCTTTGGGAAAAAGGAAGACCGCTGGTGGTCGAGTGACGATTGGTCGATTCAAATGGAAAGGTAGGTAGTTAGTCCAAAAATGTTACAAAATCTAAAGTTTTTATCACAACTTGATTACAGAGCAAAGGTTTTATATTTTTAACTTAATTACAGGGCTTTGCGAAGAAGGAAGATGTTGTTACTGCTAGGCAGGGGGTGTCAAACATGCGGCCCTCGGACGCTTAACAATAATTGTAAAATTTTGTAAGTTTTTTTTCATCTAATCGATTATTTACACAAAAAATGATAATTTAGAGAAAGTAGTTTTGAAAAATTAATTTTTTTGTTTGTTTTCAATTCGACCCAATTATGGATACACTTCAAGCTAGCAAAAAAATGATTGAAAAAAAAAATCCAGTCACTAAATGAAACGCAGAGTACACGAAGAAAGTGGCATTTTCGAAAATAGGGGGTTGCAATATTTCTGTATTTTCAAAATTCTAAAGAACATTGTTTAATTTGGCACATTTCTATCAGCACAATGAAATAATACAATATAAGTAGACAATATCAGAATAAGCTCAACAGTCAATATGACAAATTTGAAGATCAACTTCGAATAGAATATTTTTATATGTTTGCATATTATTATAATCATACAACTACCTAGTTACTAAAAGTCAATATATATAAATCATAGCCCAAGCGGTCATATGCGACGTGGTGCCAATGGCAGGCAATGTGGCGGGAATTGTATGGTCCGAAAAGTCGGTCATTACTTTTGTTCTTATCTATACATGAAATGATGAATGTAATATTTTTGCATTACTGAAATTAATCAAACATTCTCAACGATCCAGTAAACCGATAATCATGCGACCTCGTTAAATAGAGTTGGTACTGTATAATCATTTCAGCCCGATATTAGTAAGCTGGTGGCACAAAAGAGATGCAAAACGTCAGGACATATGTAATAAAAAAAACATAGTTTATTCGTTACTATTTTAGAGGGTATATATTTAGATTAGGTCATTTTTATTATGTATTATTCTTTTATCAAATCTTTGTTCAAAAATGTTTTGGATAGTTGTAAAAAAACTTTGATTTTTGTAATAAATTTGCAATAATAATAAAATACCAAGGAATAATATGTAAATGTAAGAAAACATTTGTAGATTTTATTGTCATGCAAGTTGTTTCAATCCTTTACTTAATCCCGGGATTATACGGCTCAATCCCCGGATATCCCGATACCGGGATTTCAAAAGCTGGTTCCGAAATTCTAACCCCAGTCGGAATCAGCCAAGATACCAAAATACCGTATAACATTGCATGTGCATCGCATTCTTTGTCAAGTTTATTTTTTCCAACCAGTAAAAAAAAAAGTAGTACACAACGGGAAAATGATAATTACAGTTTTACTGAGGAAACTGCTAGCGGCGACTTCCAAGATTCCAATATCGAATTTAAAAATTGACAATTTCAGAATTTAGAAAACTACTTTTATTGACTTGACTACCGACCGTATGAATTTTGCGAAATAACAAACTGACGTCGCTCACGAGGAAGTCTAGTTTATTTTTCAGCAAGTAAAAAATCACGAACACAAACTACAAGAAAATGATGATTACATAGTTTTACAGGGGAAGGTCAGTCAGTAGTTAATTTTTCATCAAAATGAAAATGCACTTACCGTAACATAAATTAAAAAAAAAGTTGAAAATGACATTTCACGGCGAAGGGTGACGCGAAAAACAAAAGTTGGTTATCGAGCAGCGACACCTGTGATAAGAGTCTAACTTTGATATAGGTTTAATAGAAATAAGTCGAACAATATATAAATTAGTATATTAAAGTCTAAAAACCAAATTTGTTACAGAAAAGAGACTCCGGGCACCGTCAAGTACGAGGGGTAACCATGGGCAACGACCAACGTGAATATGGGTGCACGTTCTGGCGGAGGCCATGTTCGTGGGCATACGTAACAAGACAGTTATTTGGTAATACATTTAGAACTATGAGGAGCGTCTGAATTGTTATAATATGGACCAAGGTTCTAGAATATCCGGCACTGTGACATGGTTACCGGGATTGGAGTCATTAGAAAAATCGGAAGAAAATATTAGAATCGGAATAGTACATTCCAAAAAAGACTAAGAATGAAGGAATAAACAGGTAAAACCTCATTCTAGAGTCTTGATTATGGACTAAGAAGTCCTGAAAAAAAAACATTAAAGGTACCAAACTAACGTTACACGATCAGATACATGTGAAACAAATATAGAGACAAAAGTTTCAAAAAATAAAATAATAATTGAATCAATGCAGAAGAGGAAAATGAACTAAGAAACTAACGCTGTTCAATGGATATCACAGTGATAATATTGATAAAAAAAAAAAAGTAATCGTTAGGCACGATACGTTAGAGTGTACAGCATATGATTGCATTGTACCAAATAACAATTGAGATAATTATCTGGAGATTTGGGTTGGTTCAAAGACCAGGAATCTCGGTTCAACCGAACCGATAATAAAGAAACCAGATCATTAATGACCTGCGAATTATTTGATTATGCTCCAGAGGTAGGCATAAACTCATCCCATGTTGAATTAGTGAGATTGTCAACAATGTCAAGTAATGGCTACATTTTTAAATATACAGTATATAACAGTGGTTCCCAAACTTTTTAAAGTTAGGACCCACTATTTATTACCACAGCTTATGGCGACCCATTTAACTTTATTAAATTCTTGCAGCGCACCTACACAACAAAATATCTTTTTGGTTCTATTTTTATTTATTTTTATGACATAACACAGAACACAGCTCTGTTTAATCATCACAAAACTACCGCGTTTCCTCGAAAATAAGACCTGGCCTGAAAATAAGACCTTATTCGAATTTTAAAAACGATTAAATTTGAATAAAATTAAAATCTGTGGGAGAGGAAAGGTTCAATGACCTGAGGTAAGGTGAAGATCACACCACTATTCAAGATTGTGTGATGTCACAATTGTCACTTGATTTTTGTATAGGAAATACAAAAAAAAAACAGCGGGATGTCGGTTTTTATATAAATATAATGTTTATTAAAAAATCTTGTGATTTTCTATAATGTAATTTTATTTTTGATAAATGAACACAAAAGACCCCTCTAAAAAAAACATAGTGTTATTCTTCAAAAGAAAATAAATCTAAATCCTATCTAAATTTCGGGGAAACACGGTTAAAAGTGCTGTACAGTGTACAAAACTTCTATGCGTAAAAAAGCCACATGGTCATTCTTTGTGTAGCAAATTTTTGTTCCTTTGAGAAGATCGTAAAAAGGAAACTTTCACAGATTATAATTTAAATTCAATTTTATTTGTTTTATTTTTTTGTACTCGAGTCGCCAACGATCCTAATAACCAGTATACTTAATCAAAGCTTTCTACATCTTTTCACGACCCACTAAGATTCCTTTTGCGACCCATAGTTTGGGAACCGCTGGTATATAACATACACTGTGGGGGTTAGGAAGCCGCGAGAACCAAAACTGGCTATCGGCAAACGCTTAAAGTTCTAATTTCCAATTTAAAAAGTTTGGAATCTTAGAGTTTTGAAACTACTAATATTTAGTACCGTTAGCCAAGTAACACCGCTTTCTAGAGATAGATAATTAGTAGAGATTATATTAAAGAGACAGGAAATTAAATATAGATTACATTAAAAAGCCACAAGACCAACGGTGATTTGGTTAAACTGCTCAATTCTGGTGGTATACGCAAAACCGTATGTATAGCTTTTCACTTTTGTTGAAAATTAAACATCGTAACTGACCTGAGCGCAGATGTTTTGCTAAGATGAATCAAGCTATTCCCTGGTTCAAACTTCTGTCGCGTTCATGGCGATATAATACTAGCAAAGTTACCTATTTTTCCCATTATTCAATTGAGCCTAAAATTGATTCAAGTGCACTCAAATTGAGGTAGCAGTCCGTATATATTCTGCCGCGACAATAAGGAAAAAAGCCAATGATATCTTTCTAAAGTTCTGCACATGCGATTGCTTTGATCATTTTGCTCATTTACGTCTGATTGAAATTGAATTCAAAATACTCCCTGGCAACAACCTAAACATATTTTTTTATACGATTCTAGTCTCCTTTCCAGCCCATTTGAGCGAAATTTTGATACCATCAAATCTTTATCACGCGAACTAGAATATCACGCTATCTTTGTACATCGGTGCTGCAATCGCTATGAGACGAAGATAGATCCCCATAATATCAGAACACAGATGGAACACAATTTTCTTTTTGAATTTCATACTTTTTTAATGATGGGCAACACATGTTGGGCTATGATCAGCATTGGAATTAAATATTTTTAGAACGGGTACTCTTTTTTTATCGAACTCAATGACAATGGGTTTCCATATTTTGGAAAAAAAAAATATGTATATATATATATATATATGTCACTATACAAAAGCTACATTAACATGAATCGCTTTACATAAATAGAAATCGTCAGCTGTAAAGCACGTTATCCATTTGCTGCTGCCGAACTACGCCTAAAACAGGAACGGGTTCGCCAATTATGACATTTTTTTAAGAACGGTTTATTACTCCTGAAGTATGCGTATCAAGATGGCGGACATCGGAACGTAGTATGTGTACCAGGTTAGGGTTGGGCCATAATTTTATCCCAATTTTCCTTTTTTTAGTTCTATTACGAATTCTTGGACTAGCCAAGTGACTCCCGTAGTATTTGCACCTAAGATTATGGCCTAACCCTAACCTGGTACACATACTACGTTCCAGTGTCCGCCATTTTGATACGCATACTCAGGAGCGCCAACGGTTTAGCGTGAACCCCTTGAATCCCACCAGTGGCCTATGGCGCGCTAGAACTCAGATATATGTCCAATAAATATAAAATACATAATTGTATGCAGCTAAGATTTTGAAAAAATTATGGGGGTAACAATGTGAGTGAGCGTGCTTGTCTAGGGTTGACAATTTGTAGTATCTATTACATGAATTGATTGGAAGTTAAATAATAACGGTGCGGGGTTGAGGATGAGATGGAAGATCTGTTTTATCAAGCGGCGGGTAATAATGTACGAGGAAGGATTTTCCCACATATGACATACGCATTAATGTTGGTTCCCACCAGGTAGCATGACTTTTGGCAGTCAGTGTTACAGTCCCACTGTCATGACCTACATACAATTCTTCTTTTTGTGGCGACTGAAACATGTATCGCTCAGAAATTCCCTCTGCGGGAAACAATCGACTGTTAAAAAGAAAAAAAAGAAGTTATCGGTTGTTGACGCAGAGAACACAATTGCTACTTAGCATTTGCTAGAACAATATCCTTGTAAAATTATTCATAACAGTGATAATTTACTAATATATATATATTAATTTAAATATGTGAAAAGCACCTTGTTTCAATATCAACGATGTCGAGATGTATGAGATCTAAACCACCAGCAACAACATGGTGAGCATGGTAAACACCACTAAAAAACGACCAACGGTCTCCTGTAGTGACTCGCCATTCATGTTGGATACTGCTTTGGTTTACTTGAATTTCAGTATGAGCATGTACATATTGACTTATCCATTTATTAGTTCCTTCATGAACGAACATTTCAACATAATAAGGCATTCGATGTTGACTGAAAAATCAATGAGCAAGAGTTCTATCATAATTTCCTGTTAACAGAAGGTAGTACTGTAGCAGGTACATTGGAAATAAGTTAAAGATGAATAATTACCGTGAATTACAATACCTTCAATACCTTACAATACCTATTCCACGCGTGATACCACCAGCACCAAGAAGTTATTTTTTGTGATTTGTTAAATATTGCCTCAGTGGGGTTGTATTTTGGTGCTCAATTCCAATTTCTACGGTTCAAATATCTTTACGTTTGTCTATTACTTGAAATAATTCAGTTCGATTCTGTCACTTAAAAATGCAACTTACTATCCTATAGCGTGAAGAGTTTTCAAGATAAACCATTCATATTCTCGGCCAGGATTTTCATCAGAAACCATATGAAAATGTCCTGTGCTGTCCGTTGTCAAGAATTTAGCCGGACTTTGGCCAGCTGTATTTTTAGGTTCTCGGAGAAATACTCCTCCATCAGATCTCAAGAGTGCGTCAAATAATCTGAAAATGGGCATTGCTATAAGAACAAATTCATAAATATAAAAATCAACGTTGTACATTTAAAATCAACTGTGCCGTGCATTTCAACCCGTTACGATGTGTTTGACACTTTTATCTCATTTATCAAAAGGTACGAGCGGAATGGTAATGAATTTGGTAAAATGTGATGGCATACCAGAAGGCGATCCGGTAAAGTAAAGCTAGTTAACTATTAGGCCTTGACGTATATATGGCACAAATTTATTTAAGAGTAGTCTTAGATTGGAGGAGTATAAATTCGAAGTAAACGTTCCCAGACTACCGCATGTTCACAAAGCAGTAGATTTGATAATTAGGCGGTCGACTAGTCATAATTTTGTCCCATAAAATTGGAAAACGGATAATAAAAGTAATACAGCACTGTAATTTCAATTTAAATCACAAGGTGTGTTCAACAGCAAACATTGAAAAACTATCGTATCCTAATTACAATTTTGGATGTATATCATAATAATCAACAAATAATTATGGAATATATTGTTGTTTTTACATGATTTGTATATTTTGAAAATAATTTTTTATCCTCTTGCTATATATGCTGTTGTAATACAGCAACAAGCTGTCGCTGACTAGATGACTCATTATGTCTTTCGCGACCCCACGTCAATTGCTGTGAATCAATGTTTCCCGTTTTTTTTTTAGCTCACTATGCTTTTCTTTTGATTTCTGTTGATTCTTGCATGACGAAATGAATATCTCAATTTGAATATGAACAGTCACCCCGCCCGGTGCAAACGACCACGGAAAACATTATAGCCCACCTCTAAACTTATGATGACGGCTTCGGACAAAAATATGTTAGAAATGTAAAAAGAAACCTCCAGTGTCGTGATTGTCAACTTTTTTGATTCCTTTTCCTTCTTTTCCTATTTTGATCTATGTATTCTTCCGACACTATGCATGAAAACTTTATTTCTATTATTTGTTCATTCTTTATGGGAATCTTACCTTACTGGCTTTCGCATAGTTCGAACAGTTCTTACTGTGTTCGTATGTATTACAATGACATAAAATTATAAAATAACTAAACAACATTAGTGAAACTGAATCTGAGTAATATTTCTGAATTTTTTTCGAAAATAACAAATTTATCACTGCCAAGGTATAGGGAAACTCTAAACGCATTATGTATATATTTATACATACATAATTGTTTTTGTAATAGTTACCAAAGAACATAATTTTGAAATAGCCTACCGTTTTGTTGATTCCATTACTGATGAACGCAGATGTATATTTCCATTATCATCATATGTCACGTATAATTTAGTGCCCGAGCTGTTGATCGCATAAAAACTCCAACCATAGGTATCGTCGTATGCAAGCCTTTCCAAACGCCAGTAATGAGGTTGCGTAGAAATTCCAGTCGAAATTTTATCTCCAGCTTTCAAATGATTGAACGTGTGCCACTGTTCCAAATGACCATTTTTTCCCCTAGCAATTATGAATTGATTTTCTCCGACCCAGGCCGGGACGATCAACTGATGAGAAGTATTACTGTTGTCCGAACTCATTTTGCTGTTTTTAATAGAAACTCGATTTACGAAAAGAATGATAATAAACGATTAAAACTCTGTTAGTTCGATAGCTTTGTAAAAATATGGGAAGCGGAACAAACAGTCGTAAATGAATGAATGAGCTGGAACAATATCTCACATACATTAGCGACAAGAATTCAACATCGATACCTCTATCTATCGAGCCTCCCAATCACGTGTTCAACGCTATCTAGTTTAACAAGACGGATTTGCCCCATCCCAAACTAATTTGGCTGCAAAATTGGCGCAGACCTTATGCACAGTGTATGTCTTGGGACAAAAATAATTTTTCAGAAGCGGAAGGGCAAAGCTATTTCCACGAGACTTTGTAATGTCTTATACGGTTGAAAACCACTGCCACCTAGCAGCCTGTAGATAAATATTAACAATCTGAAATTTGAAAATGCACTTAAAAAAATTCTTGCAGTAATGGAAGTAAAGACCTGCTTAAAGTGTCGTCGAGTTAACGATATCTAGATTGAATAGGAAAAAGTAGGCTACTGATGGCGACAATAACGAGTCTCTGGAGGCAGCTTACGATGCATAACAAAGTGAATAGAATCAATCGTATATATTTCTAATAGTACTTTTAATGCTTTTTTATGTACGTTTTTCATGAATTTACGATGTTTCCTACTTTTTGTTACTCGCAAATTGTATCGCATAGCAAGTAGTTAGTAAAAAAAGACGACAAACTCAACGACCTTTCTGAGAAGTGACTCTTCCAACTAACAGTCGCGACGCGAGAAAATTAGTGAATACTTAATTCTGTCTGATTCTGGTATATAAATGACACATCGGGCTGAACCACTGGGTACGAATATTTAGAATTAAGGAGTGGCCAAGTTATCTGTTATTTATTCCAAGTATTTATTATTGTAAGTTTGTTGTTTATTCAGCTAATATCAAAAATAATCTTATTTTTTTTGCAAGTGCGTGGGTAAACCAGGGTCATTTGTCATAGCTAAGTGATTACATATTGGTTTGTTTTCTCCATCCTCGTCACCCGAAAACTATTTTTCAGAAGATTACGAATCTGCATTTTCGTTGATAAATCTCCGTATTCCTATAAAAATTCCCCTTAATCAGAATTATATGAAGGACACGGCAGTTCAAACGTAAATATGTAAAAAAGAGTTGATGAGTGGCGGCGTCCTTGGGTGTGCAAATATCGGCGAAATGGGTGTGGTGTATAATCACTTCCTGACACTCTATCAGAGTACACATTCAATTGATTGCTACATATTTGTATTGCCTCCAATTCTAACATAAAATAATGATAATGGGTTAGTTAAAATTTGTAAGATGTGAACAGAGACTGGTTATCCAAGTGACTCACGCTTAAAGCTTGAAGATAAAATGTAATAATTTACGAAATAGAGCCTGCCACGAAAAATTAACTATACCGAAATAAAACGCTATTAACCCTTGGCTTTTTGTTTACGACGAAAATACTATTTTGGTATTTAAATAAAGTATTTGTGGTATCAATAGCATATACAGTAAAAATGATGACGTCATCATGAAGGTCATCCTTCATGAATATGTGATAAATACCGTGAATAATATATATATATAGCATTTTGTCTCTAACAATTTTGATTACCGGTACTTGAATTACCCAAGTTTTGAAAAAAATTTGTTTGCATACTTGAATTCAACATTAGTCCCGACCATTTCTAGTGGACAAAGTATTGAGGTCGGCAAAATGGTAAAATTTAACAAAGAAGGTTATTTAACAAAGAACATGTAGAAAGTCTATGTCGTTACGTACAGGTGCCGTTAGATATCAACTCCACCCAAAATACCGCACGACATTGCATCGGGATCGCTTTGTGATTCAACTGTGTATTTATGATAGCGTATTCAATAATTGGGTAACTAAAGTTCTTCACTTGCATCTGGTTCAAAGGGATTCATCACTGATCAGAGTCCAGACGTTCTGCTAAGTTAAATCGATGTCCGTTATTTCATAGTTAAATTATTTCTTCCATCTAGTTGAAAATAGCATGCAAATTGACTCAGTTCAAATATCTAATTTTAATTTATAAGGTCAGAAATATTGGCTGTCAAAGTGCTGTTATTGTTAATTGTCATGGCTTAGTTAGACAGTTGATCAACCACAAATTACATACATATATATATATATATATATTAGATAACCGTTTGTGCCCGATAATGCCACTGAAACCTGGTTCTAAATTCCACTACATTCATGATGAGGTGATTAGTGTCAGAATAGGGATCTTTAGTAAAAAACCTATCCAGTCAAAATTAGAATGAGGGCTAGGAATGCAGCTTGCGATGGAAATTCAAATTTTTAACTAATTCATAACCCGAACCCTGATTGAATAATTACTAATTTGGTATTATAAAACGTCGCGGGGAAATTTTTGCGTTGGTGGCGGGGGATTTGTACAAAATATCCCAGAAAAGTTGTCTATTTTTGTGATATATATATAAAAAGCCATTCTTATGCAAATCTTTTAAGTTTTTATTGTTATTCAATTGAGCTTGGAAGTATTGTATATTTTTATGGTTTATGCAAATGCTCTCATGCTTTTACTCACACCCGGTTGAAATTGAATTTAAATTACTCACAGGACGAAGCCTAAACAAAGGTGTTTTTGAAGTGTTCTTGCCTTGTTTTTTGTGCATTTGGTAGGAATTTTGAAACCATCAGATATTTTTGTTTTACAGTGCTGTAATGTTGATAACACGATGGTCAATGGTTGATATCAGAATTGACAAACGACACACGACTTCACTTATGATGTACAACACGCACTAATAATATGGTAATAAAACTTGGATAAATATCGAATAAATATGAAAAATTTGTTGTGTATATGTCTGGCAAAATTTGAAAAATGATGAATGGACAAGATAAGTGAGCGCGTTTTTCGGGGATTGACATGTTATGGTACCTATCACATGAACCGGTTGAAAGTTAAATAGTAACGGTGCAGGCTTGAGAATGAGATGGGAGATCTCTTTCACGAAGCGGTGGGTAATAATATACGAGGGAGTATTTTCCCACATATGACATATGCGTTAATATTGGTTCCCACCAGGTAGCATGACTTTTAGCTTTCAGTGTCACAGTCCGACTGCCGTGGCCTAAATACAAAACTTTTTTTTGTGGAGACTGAAACATGTATCGTTGTGAAACTCCTTCCGCGGGAAATAATCGACTGTTAAAAAAAGTAAAAACACATAAATGATCGGTGGATGACGATGTACACAAAATAACGTATAGAACATATTTAGCAGTCCTAATTGCGAGAGAAATATCCGCGTAATAATCATTCGTCACAAAGGTGATTACATAAATACATATATATACATGTGATAATATATATTTATTTAAACATGAAAAATGTACCTTTTTTCATCATCGACGATGTCCAGAAGTATCAGATCCAAACCATTACGAACTACATGGTGAGCATGATAAACACCCGTATGGAACGACCAACGGTCTCCTATAGTGACTCGCCATTCATGTTGGGTGCTGGTTTGGTTCACTGCGATTTTAGTTTGAGCAAGAACTTCCTGACTTATCCATTTTTCAGATCCTTGATAAACGTACATTTCAACATGAAAAGGCATTCGATGTTGTCTGAAAAATTAATATATACGCAAGAGTTCACTCAAGACCTATCATAATTTCTTAATCAACAAATAAGATAATACGGCAGAAGGTACATAGAGCATAAGTTCAACTACTGGATGCTTATACCAGGCGTTATAAGTACTGAAAACAAGGTCAATGTACCATTCATTTTCATATATGATTTCACTATAACAAGCTGGTAAGCGCATGAGACGAAATTAAAATACAACAAATAAATTTTAAAAGTTTATCTGAATTTTTTGGTTTCACATCGTTATATTTCCATACAATACTGATCATATTTTGACTTAGCATTGTCAGTCTACCGCGTTAAAAATTTCAACTTACTGTCCTATAGCATCAAGAGTTTTCAGAATGAACCATTCGAATTCTTGACCGGGATTTTCATCAGATACCATGTGAAGCTGTTCTGTGTCGTCGGTTGTCATGAATTTAGTCTGACTTTGGTCGGCTGTATTTTTAGGTTCACGGAGAAATACGCCTCCATCAGATCTCAAAAGTACGTCAAATAATCTAAAAAAATGAGCTGAGTTTCACGGATATGTTTACTAGTAGAAAAACCCTCAACGTAGGCTACCTGATTTTCTGCTGATATTAAAATTGTCCGTGCCCCGCATTTTGCCTTCGCCTAACTCATAACTACAGGTGCTCATTAAAATGTCCGTACTGCGATTTCTGCAAATGTATCAGATATCTTCCACATTCAAGGCTTCGATTGACTATCATTGCTGGCTGAATGGATTATGCCTGTGCTGTACTATATTTTTCTCTTTGTCGCGACTCTTCGTTGTCAAGATAGCCGTTGACTCGTGTTTACAAGGGCTTTTAAAGTTGAATTCGGAATCGCGGCTTGGTGCAACGACATTAAAAGGCTGAAATTTTTACCTCATTGGACCTAGTACATATATACCTATTTCTCTATGGGTTGCCACTAGACACAATTTTGTAATACCTTTTCTTAGATTCCATCTCTGATGAATCCAGATGTACATTTCCGTTATCATCATATATCACGTATAATTTAGTGCCTGAACTGTTGATCGCATAAAATCTCCAACGGTATGTATTGTCCTGCCCATGCCTTTCCAAATGCCAGTAATGAGGTTGCGAAGAAATTTGAGTCGAAACTTTCTCCCCAGATTTCGAATGGAGAAACGTGTGCCACTGTTCCAAATAACCATTTTTCTTCCTAGCAATTATGAATTGATCTTCTTCGACCCAGGAAGGAACGATCAACTGAGAAGTATGGACGTTCTCCGAACTCATTTCTATATTTTGACTGGTATCTTAATGCAGCACAAAAGCGCTTTTATGAAAAGTAGCAAAAACAAATAGGAATATATATATATATATATATAATACAATAAAAGTCAAAACAAACAGTCATTAAGTGAAACAAATTGACTGTTATTCTATAGTGCATATGTGTAGGCGACAGAAAAGATACTTCCTTCCTTCCAGAAGAGATAATTCCTGCGTTTAGTTGATAGATCTCCGCAATCCTATAATGATTGCCCTAAATCAGAAAATTATGAAGAACCCGGCAGTTCGAATGTGAATGTGTTAAAGTAAATTTGATTAGTGGCGGCGTCTTTGGGTGTGCAAATATTGGCGAAATAGGTGTGGCGTAAAATTACCTTCTGACACTCTATCAGAGTACACATTCAACTTATTGCTACATATTTGCCTTGCGAAGGGTATTTTGTCATCCAGGGTATTTTGTGAGACATATCAGATTATTTTGCGTTTTCTATTGCAACCATGCTCTTGTCTTATTGCAGGACGACGTCAAACCTTATCAATACAGATCAAGTAATATGAGTCCAAATATTAATTGTCCAATTCTAACATAAAATTATATTGATGGGTTGGTTAAAATTTATGAGCTGTTAAGACACCGGTTATCGAGGTCACGCTTAATGCTTGAAGAAAAAATGTAAAAATTCACGAAATAGAGCCTGCCACAAAAAATTAACTAAGCCGAAATAAAACGCTAATAACCATCTTCTTAATGAGTTTTTTTGTTTACAACGAAAATACTATTTTGGTATTGAAATGAAGTATTTGTGGTGTCAACAGCAAGTATACTAGTGTAAGGGAGAATGGCCCTACCTGCGCGTTCACTTAGGTGTTATTGGCCGACACACGTTTAATTGACTGTAACACTGATTTGAACCCCTCAGAAGTCAATAGAACACAATGTATTGCAATGCCAAATGTTCGTATATTGTAAAATATATGCACAATCCAATCGAAGAATCCGAATACAGATATATTGGAATGTACACTTAAACCATAATGCAGTTAAACGGTCGAATCGAAAGCAGAAATGATAAGAACATGAAAAATACACATATTCCAACGCTCGGGCGAGGTCGGAAACACACGTCATCAAATTGGCAAAAAAACAAGGCTTGGGCTGTCGCGATAACTATTAATCAGGGAAGCAGCTGAAATGACCTATTTCCATTGAATTCAACATACTATTATTATAAAGGGTTAAATAACAATAATAACATCAAAAACCACAATCCACATTCGCTACACTAGAAATGATGACGTCATCTTGACAATTGACATCATCTTCATGTTTTAAAAATTACTTGTTACTCAAAATTTTCTTGGAAGCAGTGACCACGTTAGTCCCAAGTCATTTGAAATTTATCATTAATCAATGTTTTTATATCAACACGTATGTTAAGAGTTGTCTCTTGTTCTTTGTAAATTATGTTTGAATTGGTTAGCTTTTCTTCCGAACTCGCATTTACAAACCGACTTACAATTAATTCACTGCAGATTGATCGGTTACTAAATTTCGGCAATTGTGAAGTAGGCTACAGCAGGGTAATATCAGTACATTAATTGATATTTACTAAATTGACATATCAGCACCAATTTTAGTGTTACTGTTCACGCTGATTACAAATAGACAATGCGTATGGAGTATAATGCTTTAGTTTTCTATGTAGGCTATGTAGATATTGTTAACAAATATTCCCGAAGGAAGAGATCAATTTGTGAAAGAAAGTACTTACTTTTGAACCAGTTTAGACTGGCCATGCACACTATTCATTTAGCTTACTAAAATCACTTTTGTCCACTGAATGTCTCAGCTATCCTTCTGTTACAAGTGAATCAAACGACCTTAGTGTTGCGAAAATGTGTCCGAATATTTTTTTCGGTTATTTTTTATGAAGTAAATGCTATGTTTTTGTTATCATCAATTGTTACCTATATCAGCAAATGTGACGCGTTTTACAGATAATGATACGATGGGCCTGATCTGTACATTTTACAACTAAAATTGTATCGGTATCATATTAGAGGACATTACTGATACGCGAATGTACTCAAGCTACCGATACTCGTCATTTTTGCGTTCCGATATTTCTATTCAAGTATGACGTAACAGTGGCGTAACAACGCAATGTGGCGCCCCCGGATTTTTGCGCGGAATGCCACCCCCTCAACACCGTCGTAAAAGATGAATAAAATTTTACACAAACGAAGAATTAAAGCAGTGAATAGTAAATTTTATCGAAGGTTCCAAATTCTAGTTTTCATTGAACTAAATTCAGAAATTATATCGTCAAAAGATAATGTCTCGACTAAATCACTTTCAATGGGCAGTATTGCTGGCACAGACAGCCTGCTTTCTCCCATGGTCGATCTCAAGTAAAACTTTATCAACTTAGGTTTTGACTTCGTTATTCGCAGCTGGTGAAAAAAACGGCAACAGTGAGGTAAAGCTTGAGACTCGTGAATAAATAAGGTGTTAGGATTATAGAATCTGAATAGGATTATTTGCGATCACAGGGTGTACAGTATTCACTTTCTTGTGCGTGAATTGTTTGATCATAATGGAATTTGAAATCTACCAATGAAAATAGTTCGCCGGTAGGCCGTCTGGTCTAACCTAACCTACAGAATGGCAATTCCACTCGACTGCGAGATAATCTTCGCTAGCGTATTATAGACGCAATTACAAATATTGAACTACAGTTCCATTTTGGATGAACACATGAATAGTTGCGTACCTGGGCCTTCAAGCACAGACAGATGTACCGACAACAACAGTTCCGTTGACTTTACCAAAGTAAATTGAGATGCCAGAGAATGTGATTAATGCTGGCATTGCTCGTATGTAATGAGCAATAAATCATTACGTCCATCTGAACTCCAAAATACCGCGACAAAAATCACCCCCGGTGAAAGACGCTGGCATCGGTTTCTTTGCTGCCAAGCGAGTTAGATTTGACAGCGCACATTGACTAAGTTCGGGTTTCTGTCGGAGCAAAAGTCAATTTTTATTACCACAAAAACAAAATTTATAAACCGTCTTAATGTTGACGTTCGTCTAGCTATGAAAAAGACTGCGCCCAATACGAGAAACCTCGTCAGACAGTCCTAAGCGCAAGATTCCCTTTGATTGTATATTGGAGAGCGTTTACTTTCTTGTCTATGGTTTGCTTTTTCATTCCATAATAGGTCTTAAACACATAAATTTAATACAATCCAACACGTTTCGTTTTCTGGAATGGCGAACACGGAGACCGCGAGTGCAAAAGGGCGCTGGAAGGGGGCCACGAGCCATAAAACACCTGGTTTAGACGTATATCTTGTGTAATTTTATGGCTTCAGTGGTAAATTAGGTCATTTAATGTGACTGCCTTGGTTCATTTAAAACGTTTTTCCGCTTCGTTCAAAACGTTTTGCCACATTTTGCCGCCCTCCAGCAACGTGCCGCCCCTGGATTTATCCACAAGATCCAATGGGTAGTTACACCACTGTGACGTAACACAGCTTAATGACATTATCTATGGAGTCTTCATCTCCAAGTTGTCACCGCGATAGCATAAGTAAAAAATAAAAATAAATATTCAGAAAAGTTTTGTTCGCATAAATCTATTTACTGTGATAAACTTTTGGGTAATCGTTAACATGGTTTCTCAAAAGTTTTATATTAATCATTCTTTTTATATTACATCTGAAACAATTGGAGCAAGCAACTCAAATAATTTAGATTGCGAAGTAAAATACAAGAGTTTTACAGATAACCGACAAGCACACTGTTTTCGTGATACGGTCAAGTCAAGCTATCGTATTCTCTGTTACCAAAATTGAACATGAAAAAGGATGAATAAGTTGTGACGTCATTCGGTAGGTGATTAATTTTTGAATGAACAGGAGTAAGGACGAAACTTAAATAAAAAGTTGTCGAGTCGCGTTATCAGGCAGCAAAGAAACGTCCGTAGAAGCACCCTGAACAGGAGTAAGGGCGAAACTTAAATAAAAAGTTGTCGAGTCGCGATATCAGACAGCAAAAAACCGTCCGTAGAAGCACCCTATAATCGTATGCATTTTTTAGTAATTGGTGACGACAAGTCCCAAGACTTTTCCGAGAAGTGATCCTCACAACAAATAATCGCGACACAAAAAAATGGGTATATAATTAATTTTACCTGATTCTTTATTCTGGTATAAGTGCTCAGATATACAAATAATACAACGAGCTTTGCCACTTGGTCAGTGTATTTAAGAATAAGGTGTGGCCAAGTTATCTGTTGATTTTTTTAAGTATTTGTTCGTTGTTAATTTATCTAATATTCTATAATAATCTTATCTCTCTTCTGATAAAACACGGCGCATTTGTCACAGCTAAGAGATTTTGCATTTATTTGTTTGTCGAGCACGAAGAAACTGATACCTGATGTCTTTCAACTGCCTGTTTCGAGTTCAACTAACATGAACTGCTGAACTAACTGGATGAACAATAAAATCACATATTTATAATGGGTTATACATTTATTTGTTTCCACCACCAAAAAACTGATTCGTAGAAGTCATAAAATTCAATTGATTGATTACAATTGTTTTATTATATTGACAGTATAAGGAATAGATCAAAAAATCAGGTCATGACGATGCTAAAATTAACGGTAACTTTCATATTATTTAGTGGGAAAATCACAATACATACATCTAATACGTGTTCGTGGGTGCCCGGTTATGCCTTTCGGCAGAGGAGGGTAGAAATTCACCACCCCGTTGTTGTCATGATATGACATATGAATTTGCATTATTACCCACCGTGTAGCAACACTTTTCGTTTTCAGTATTACATTAGCATTGTCATGACTCAAATATAAATCAGCATTTTTTGGTGCCTGGAATATGAATCTCTCTGATTCTCCTTCAGCAGGAAACAATCGGCTGTTTAGAAAGATGATATGACAATATTAAAGAAAGCGATAATCCTTTTGCAAAGTTACAGGACTATATACTAATTGTACTAATATTCAT